GAGTGTGAGTGCTAGAGTAGTTTTAGCATCTAGTTGGCAATACGTTCCCAAAACCTGACACGGAGTCCGAGTTCTGACTGCAAACTGGAACAGAGACTGATGTATTTGCATATCTGCTGCTGGATTTTCCACTGCCCTATTTTGCATCTTCAGACTTTAGAACAAACAAGCAGCGATGCGGGTTGAAGTACAGTACAGACGGACAGCTGTAGCTGCGCGCTGCAAGCTCGCTCTGCACGTTTGCGTCATCCCCAACTTCCTCTTTGCCTGTGCGGTTAGCTCAGAGCGTTGTTGTGACGCTGCTCGCCGTCCTCATTTCAGTACTTCTGCCTTACATATATATAAGCGAGCGACGAGCGGGTTCACAAAGCAGACGCAGTTAGAGATCTCATAACCCTGTGACAGCAGCTCAACGTACACTCACACGTACACAAAGCACCGCTGCCATGCCGAGCCTGGTCACATCACCGCCAAAGGAGCTGCAGCACCTCAGCATGGATGCTGACAACAAAAAGGCGGGAAAATGCAGGTAAATATTTTATTCTAACCGCCACATAGCACTTGCTCATCTTCTTTTTTTTTTTTTTTTTTTTTTTTAAAGTGGACTAATTCATGTCGTTTTGTTTGGTTTACCAGGGGAGCAAACCTGAAGTCTCGGCTGCAGAGCAGATCGTCTCCAGTCACTAACAGTGACGGGTAAGTGAAGAAAAACTCTCCACTGGAAACTAAGCCGCTCGTATATTTGTTTCATGTGTGACTGACGGTGCCCTCTTCTCTTGCAGGCTTTGTTTTGAAGAGATGTCCCAGTGGTCGAACTCACTAGACAGACTTCTCTCATCCAAATGTGAGTTATTCAATATGCTGCTAAAAAGTCAAGCCTCACAGTTTGTGTTCTTCCCAAACGGTGGCTAACGTCTGCTGGTGTTTCTCTCTTCAGATGGAATGAGCATATTCCAGGCCTTCCTGAAGTCAGAGTTCAGCGATGAAAACATTGAGTTCTGGGTGGTGTGCGAGGACTATAAGAAGATCAAGTCGTCCTTCAGGATGTCCTCCAGGGCCAAAAAGATCTTCAAACGCTACGTTCAAGCCGAGGCTCCCAGAGAGGTACGAGCAGAGTTTTTAATAGTGCAGATAGATTTATGGTTCACTTCAGAAGAAGAGGCGCCGCCGCTGCTGCTGCTTTCGTTTTTATTCAACACTCATTATGTTTCCTCTGATTCCAGATAAACATCGACCACAAGACCAGGGATGTGATCAGGCGGAACATCGCGACGCCTTCCGCGGTGTGTTTCGATGATGCCCAAAAGATTGTCTACGGGTTGATGGAGAGAGACTCCTACCCACGTTTCCTCAAGTCTGACATTTACCGGACTTTACTGGACTCCACATCCGAATCAGTGAAGCTGTAAAGACACCAGAGACTCTGTGTTTGTTGAAGCTGGACTGCGAAGCTGTGCCCAAAAAACTCTGGACTACCTGAGAGAAGTTGTGTTTGTGGCCATCCAAGACATTTCTAACTCATTCATACCCTTCTGCTCAGGTGGGGTTGGTTGTGACCTCATGTGACTGTGAGAGAGAAGCAGCTGGTTCTGTAGCGAGAGAGAGAGAAAAAAAAAGCTGAGGAGACTCTGCTCAGAACCAGACAGTATGATGGGAAATGAGGCATCCGGGTTAAAAAATGACTCTACTTAATTAAAAGCAGCTGCTGTGAAATTGTCTGTAAAGCAAAAGGACTTCCCAGAGATGCTGCGATTAGGTAAAGAAAAATGCGAGGGACTTTCTGTGAGAGACACCAGGAAGTGAATGTGGTGCAAACGGCACCTTCCACCCCAGATGAAAGTGCACCAGCTGGCAGATCCGCACATCATCTTCTGTCGATGTTATCTCACTGAAGTCATAAATAAGTAGATGCTATCTAGATGTGGATGTTTTATATTCAACCCTGTGCACGTGTAAGATTTTAACCTTCTGAGATCAGTGCCGACACGCTGAGCTGATGTGTTACAACTATAATCATGCGTTATAAGCTATGTGTGGAAAATGCATTCGAGTTTGTCGAAACATACTGAATGTGAATATTAAACTGGATTTGTGTATTTAATAAAAAAAAAAAGTCTTACATTTGCATCCATGTCTGCGTAAACCTTGAAATGCACCACATGAGAATGACACCTGCTTTTTCTCAGACAGCCACAGACGAATTCTGATGAATCCAGGAAGCAGCTTAGCCGCCGCTTCATTCATTTATTCAATTATTCATTCCTAGACTTACTCACAGCTACAACATTTACTACGTAGCGGTTTTAAAGAGTTCAGAAATGCCTACAGCAGCGCGGTGTACCAGGATAACTTAGTCATACTTGCTGCGGCTGCTGAAGGCGGCACAGTCTTGGCACGTCTGACTCTACATGTCCTTGTCTGTGTTTGTATATTCCAATCATTTGTCATCGTTTTGGGAAATGTGCTCATCCATTATAGATGAGGAGATCAATACAACTCCCATGTCTGTGAACATGAGGCCACAGCTGGCCTCCTGCAGCTCAGCCAGGTCAAACACGAGTTCAGTCTGTAAGTACAAACTGGCACATCTGCAGTTTGCTAATGTCATGTTACATTAGGATTTTATAATTAGTACATGAAAGGGGGTTTATTCAAAGCCGATATTTGGAACTGACAAGTGTCCAGATTCTGAATAGCACAAACTCTAGTGTACAATGTCATTAGAATTCTTTTAAAAATTATTTCTGGTTATACACATGTTGAAATAATAATACTAAAAACAAACTTTCCAACATTTAACCTCAAGTGTTGATAGGCTGCTATATGTGCCACGCACCCAGTCACGCTGCAGTGGGCAGGATGCTGGTCCAGACCACAGACACACATACAGAACACGTCATTGTTTACTCCGTCAGAAAACTGGGTTGGCAGCTAGAAGAGAACAGCACTGCATTTTATTCACCTTACAAAGCATTGTTAGGAAAAGTACCTGAATATCTTACCTGTCTTTTTAGTTATAGATCAATTTCTCATCAAGATTTTATGGTCTTGGAAAACATTAAAACTGAGAAGCTTTAAAAAATTATACACCCAAGTATTGGAACAAAATTGAGGTTAGATCGTCTGATCCCATGTGACAGGTTCAAGGCCCTGGTGCCCAACATGGAACAGTACCAGTGTTTTCTTTCATTTTTACTTGTACACTTTCTCTAACTTATGATTGTTTATTCAGCATGTGAGAGTCTGTGTAAATATCTGTTCTTTGTATTTTATTCTGTATTTTAGTAGTAGCTGAAATATGTGGTTTTTTTGCTTGTTGTCATGCTGACAGGGCACCCATGAAAAAGAGAGTATCTGCTCTCATTGGGCCTTTTTCCTGTATAACTAAAGGCTAAATTCAGACTGGTGACTGCAGACAGAGAAAGGCGGCTGCACCAGGGCCAAAGCTCATTCTTATTATTATCATTTTTAATTGCAAGTGGGATTAGGATGATGGATGACTTGCGCACCGTCGACCTCATTCTCTTGTCCGAGACCATCTAGATCCAGTGGCAAGACCAGGTCAAGACGACTGGAGACAGAAACGGATGCAGCGGGTGACCAAGACGTCCTTTAGTACCTCACCTTGCCCTGTGCGCTCCACAGTGCCCTGCTGTAACCGCTTTTCTCTCTGTTGAACCAATCTGGTGGTTTCATCCGCAGAATCCGCCGGAGTCCAGTCTTTGTATGCGTAGGTAGGCAAGCCCTAACTCACCGAGGGTTTGAGACCCGTCAGCTACCCTCACTTGGTCTAGCCGACCAGTCAAAGCCGTTGCCCGGGGTGTGGCCGCTGTTGCATACAAACAGCTACTCGGTGCCACAGCGGACCAACTACTCTGAGGAGTACGACTGTTGCCCCTTCAGAGGTACTACCCCTTCCATACACCCCCATACAGCCCCCAAATCAGCTGAAATACAAGTAGCACTGCTGGCATTCAGACAAATGCAGAATATAGGATCCACTCATGGACCAGACTGACTTCACTTGACTTCTAGTACAAAATCTGAGAAACCTTCAAGCTTTGGTTTGAGGTGTTTTCTTTCTTCGAGTGTAACAAAAGTGATAAAAGCCTAGTAAGGTGGAAAAGTTAACTGTTTTATCAGTGTTTGAATCTTCTGCTGTGGCCTTCAGACACTTCTCATCCAGCTTTCAGCATCGAAGTGAATAGGCTTCTTTCTTTAATTTGTAGTTTATCCCTTCACAATGGCACAAACCCCCCCAAAAATGTAACTATTCCACACAGTCCAACACCGTAACGTTTCTTTATGTTTTGTTTTTGCTTCGAACTGCAGCCACAGCATAAAGCGTTTACGCCAAAACCTGCGCGAATGTTTTTACGGCTGCTGCTGCTGCTGCATGAAATCAGGATTTAAGATGTTTATGCAGCTCGGTATTTGTGGGAATGTTGAGGTTACGATTACAATATAAAAGCAAGTTCAGTAACGTTGGGAGGTTTTTCAGCGAGTGGGAGAGCCACGGCGATGGCACTCCAACACGGTGATTTGTCTGTTCTTCAGAAACTCTTTCAAACAGTTCAGCGTTCGCTACATGAATGAGGCAGGTTGTCGCATAATGCTCCCACCTACGCAGCATCTGTTCGTACATCGGCCTTTCATGTGTCACTGGCCTTTCATGCTTTTCAATGAGTTTTTTTTCTTCTTCTTCTTCTTCTACGATGCTTTCAGCCCTCTTTTTTTGTACATTCTTTCATTTATCAGTATAGCAAACACACGTCACCTTCAGAAAGACAGCAGAAAGATTTTAAAACCGAAACTGCATTTGTAATTTTTAAAAAAAAAAACCCTAAACAGGAAGTTTATCCGAGAACCCATTAGGTATCGCACCGTTAAAGGTTACAGAAATTAGGAAGAAGATTGCTTCACCACATCCTCTTTTAATCTCACTCGCACACACACGCTCATGCACCAGTAACAACGCCACTGAAACACCTTTCCTGCTTTCAGGTCGCAAAAGATAAGTTATAAGTACAAAGTCATTTCAGGTTTTTGCTAAAGGCGGTTTGCCAGAATCAGAACATCTGATTTATTTTTTTTTGACATAGATGCAGCTGAGGCGTCAAAGTGACACAGACAAACCGCTGCCTGACTAGTCATCATTTCCTTATTTGCGCTGGTGTGTTTATTAGTAACAACAACAGGATCCTGTGACAGATAAGTCATACGGCAGGCAGTGGGAATCTATAAAAAATAAAGAAGTGAGTAAGAAGATGCTTATAGTTTCAATCGGGGCATATTTATAAACCACTGATGCAAAACTCAGAGGATGCCCTCTGTCCACCATAGGTAGTGATCAGCTTCTTATTTTAAATGGTTTAAGCGCTGCATGCGTCATGAGACAGAAGTCATCCTTCTTGGTCCCACATGATGTGTATACAGGAAGTCAGTGGGATGTTGCTCAACCAGTCTGACAAAAGACGCTTTGTTCCAGCACAGGTGAAAATATTCCACAGCGGAAATCTTTCTGCAAGATAAAAATCTGCTTTGATCAAACGTGCTGTTAAAAAAAATTCCTGTAATTCCGTTCTTTAATTAGATCACAAAAACAGAATGTTTGGCATTTGATTTATCAGGTAGTCTTCTATTTTAGGAGCACGAAACAGGACGGTTGGGTTAGTTTGATGAGTTTGATGTAGGACGAGGGCACATAAAAAGGAACAAGAGTAAGCAGTGCCGTGTTAACATGATGAATTATGTCTCAGCACAACGGCGCTTTGAGCTAAACGCTGTTATTAGTATGTTGGCATACTCACGGTGATATACGCCGTTATTAGTGGGTGCGCGGTTGATTAAGTCACCATCCTTGGTTCACTAATCTATCGAATTCTTGGTAATCTGTCATCTATAAAGGTCAACTCTACACTGACGATCTTTACGGCTCCATTCAGACAAACGATGATAAGGAGCCACAGTACACGTGAGCTGCACTGGTCATACGCACGAGACTGCATGGCACGTCAAGGAAATAATAATAAACAAAAGACTGACGCTTATTAGGCTGCTGACTTCCCGATAAACTGCTTTATGCAGATGATGTGGTGCTGTTGGTGGACCTTCAGGGCATACTGAGGCCGTTTGCTGCCAAGTCGGAAGCGACTGGAATGAGAGTCAGCGCCTCCAAATCCCAGGCCGTTGCTCTCTGCACAAAGCCAGTGGATTGGAAGTGGATCTTGTGCACAAGTAACAGTAGAACAGAGCAGTGTCAGCAGTAATGTAGGCGATGCAGTGATGAGATGGTCGATACACGTCCCAACCCTCCCCTGTGGTCATCAGCTTTTGGTAATGACTGAAAGATTGAGCTTCCTCCGTAGGGCGGAGGGTGGGTGAGGAGTTCTTGCATCTTGGACTCGAGTCGCTGCTGTTTTGCATTGACAGGAGCCATGAGGTTCATTCATTTGATTAGGATGCCTCCAGGGTGCCTTCCTTAGGGGGTTTTCTTTGCAACCGGGAGAAGACTCTGACGTAGTTCCAGGACTGGCTGCAGGAGTGCATCTTAACTGGGCTGGAATCCCCCCTGGAAGAAGTGGAAATAGATAGATAGATAGATAGATAGATAGATAGATAGATAGATAGATAGATAGATAGATAGATAGATAGATAGATAGATAGATAGATAGATCCTACCTTTGGGGAAATTCGAAAGTAGTTCACACATTGAAGAAAAACAGGAAGCCACTGTGCATGAGAACGTGCAGCTAACCGACAAATCGTGCTGGTCGAAGGAATGAGGTGCTAAAAGTGCTGCTATTTACAGACAAGGTGCAAAATTGCTGGCATTTACAATAAAGACTGTATTTAAAAAGTCCTAGTACGGTGTAAAACTAGAACTAATAACAAGCATATGATCAGCATATAATTCCCTGTAATTTTCACGTAACAGCCTTGATTGTTCGTCTTTTTAGCATCATAGGAGGCTTTTAGCGTCTTAATAGAGAGAATAAAAAGAAAGTAGCAAAGGAGAGAAGAGGTGGGGTTAAATTGAAGCTCAGGCAACTACTGTGAGGCCTTCATGCTGTACAGGGGACACGTGTTCAACCAGGTGCAGGTCAGATCAACCC